GCTGGGGAATTCTGGGAGTTGAAGTCCACGTATCTTAAAGTCGCTAAGGTTGAGAAACACTGCTCCATTGTGACTGGAGAGGCAGGAGAAGGTCCATCCCACTTCCCCCTTTCCTATTTTTTTTAAAAAAATATGTTATTGTTGCAATAAGCACAGCAGAGACCTAAAATGCATTTTTCATCCATTTCCTACTGAAAATTCATTTGCCACCTAATTTCAGTATCAAAGTACTGTGATTTCTTCGGAAGCTGCAAAAAAACCCAACCCAAACCGGGAAGGAGTTGCACACAGCATAAAAACCCGTCCTTTTTAAGCTGCTGGATTCCAGTTTCAAGGTGGAGCTTTTGACTATTGGCCTCTCCACACTCCTTTTAAAAATATTCCTGCCATGCAACCGAAGGAAAACAAAGGGGAGGACAAGGAAGTTTCTTATTGGGGAAAATACACAAGCCAGCTAAACTACAAGCTGATCTATTCTTGAGAAAAATAGGAAAATGCTGGCAGAGTGATCTCTTGCCCTGCAGTGTGTCATGTCTGGATGAACCTGCCTCTCTTGGCCATGGAAATTACCCGCAAACATATGAAGGAAAAAAATGAACGCGTGGTGATGTATTGCAGCCGATTATGGCTTGTGCCGCAGGTGGTCACAGAGCCATGCTAGACGTTTGGTTGCCATAGACTAACCCCAGAGGATGCATAAAGGTGTCCATGTGGGCCCTGCTCCCAAGCCCCCTTGGAAGGAAAAGGAGAACCGAGTGCAAGAGCTTTCCACAAACACATTCAGAGCTCCCCAATCCCAAAAAGGGAGCATGCTTGTAGCCCTCAGCTCTGGAGCTGAGAACAGATCCCCTAGGTCTTGGCTTTATGCCCAGGAGCAGAAGCCAGGAGTGGAGAAATCCCAGCTTTCTCGCAAAAAAGACCGTGAGTGGAACAGAAGCAGAGGAGAAACTGCCAATTTTGTAGACAGGAAAAGAGGGGGTAGTCTCATATTGTACCCTGTGCTGGCAAAGGCGTCCGGGACAGCTCCAGTCAAAAGGCTGGGAGTCCATGGCGCGCATCCTGCAAACGCCACAATCCTGTTCTGCATCAAGCAAGGAGAAAGGCTGCAGAGCCCTGATGGAGAAGGACGTGCACGCTACCAAATGTGAATGAATGAGTGAGTGAGTGAGTGAGTGAATGAATGAATGAATGAATGGATGGGTTTTTTCCCCAAATATTCCAGAACCGAGCCTTTCTTTTCCCACAACGTTCATTCCCAAATTAGAAGGAAATGCCACCAAATGGGTGCACTTGAAAGATGGGCAGAGCTGCAGAGTCTCCACCTGCATTCATGCCATTGGGTGTTTCCCATGACCTCTTACCTGAGGCGTCCAAGGTAAGCACATTAAGGGTTCTGCCCCTGAGCAAAGACTCCTCTCTTCCCTTACCTGTGTGGTCGCCGGGGTGATGCGCTTCACTCATGGAGCCCAGCCCTGAGTCTGCTTTGTAGATCTGGGTTCCTCCGTGATGGTTCAGCTCAGCTCCTGAATCTGAATCGCTCTGGCCGGCTTTGACGCTTTTCCTCCGGCGTGGTTGGTATTTATAGTCCGGGTGATCCTTTTTATGTTGAACTCTCAATCGTTCAGCTTCCTCCACAAAGGGACGCTTCTCATTTTCACTCAGCAAACTTTAAAAAGAGAGGAAAACTAAATCAGTCATTCATAGATGTTTTAGACCCAACTGAAGTCTGACGTTCTTGTGTCGTCCCAAGGTGGCATAAGAACCTAAGAACATAACCAGGGTTAACCAGATCAGATCGAAGGGCCCATCTAGTCCAACAGTCTGTTCTCACAGTGACCAACCAACTGCACGAGGAAGCCTGCTGGTCTCCTGGCAGATGGCCTTCAGAGGTAATCCCATTGCCATTAAAGCTAATAGCCATCGATCCCCATGACTTCTGTGAATTCATCCAACCCTTTTTTGAAACCAACCAAGCTGGTAGCCAGCATCATACTGCGGTAGCGAATTCCAAAGCTGAATTGCATGTTGTGTAAAAAAATATTTCCTTTTGTATGTCCCGATTCTTCCAGGATTCAATTTCATTGGGTGACCTCTAGTTCTAGTCTTTTGGGAAGGGGAAAACAGCTTCCTCTTGTCTACTTTATCTGCACCACACATAATTTTGTACACCTCCATCATATTCTCTCTCATTCACCTTTCTAGGCTAAAGCCCCAAATGTTGCAATCTTTCTTCATAATGAAGCTGCTCCACCCGCTTGGTCATCCGAGTTGCCTTCCTCTGAACCTCCTCTAGCTCCACTGTAGAGGAGCTTTACAAGATGTGGTGACCAGAACTGTGCACAATATTCCAGATGCGGTCACACCAGTGATTCATATAAGGGCATTATAATATTGTGTCATGGTATGTGAGAATGACCTTAGGAGACAGGGAGAAGTGATGCAGCCAAGGGAACAGTCAGATAAAAGGCAGCTTAGCCTGCAGCAGGAATATGGGTGGGGCAAGAGGCTCAGAAGGGACCCTCCCTAGTTTCTTGGGCTGTAAAGGCAACAGAGCGAGAAATGTACTTTCAGACTTGCAAGATTCTGTTAATGTAACCTTACAATATAGTAGAATTAGTTCATCTGGCCGTGCTTCCTGTCTCACAGGGCTGACAGACTGGCATCTCTTTTCAATATCATTTATTAACCCAAACAATACTGTTGACCTTTTATGTACCGCAGATGCACACTGTGTTGACATCTTCATTGAACTGTTTATCGTTACTCCAAGATTTCTTTCCCCATCAGTCTCGGCAGGCTCTGATCCCCTTAGTTTGTATAAGTAGTTAGAATTTTTGGCGGCAAGGTGCAGGCGACATGAGGCTCCCATTCCTCTTCTCAGTGGAACCCTAAGACCAGTTCAACTGCCTGTCAAAATGGAAAACGATCTCCAATGCATAGCTCAATCGTTTTATTTGATGAAAATAAACAACTAACCCAGCTAGTATTTCGCTTCCCTTAACACGCTTTTCACAACTGAGATACACCTCAAATGCCCTCAAACCAACTCCCCATGACCTACGTCACTAAATCCTTGGTCAGTTGCACCCCATTCTCCAGCAGTGCACAACAAAAACGTTCACAATACCATCTGGCCTGTAATTTGACAGACAATAATATTCAAGATGGCTTCTGAAAAAGTTCAAAGAGTATATTTAAAAAAACAATAACAACAGAACTGTCAAAGGCATTTCAGAACACTCTTAATAAATGACTTGGCCTTTAAAATGCTTGAACAGGGTTTGTTGTTTTGCTGCCAGCAGCAACAAACAAACAAACAAACAAACAAATAAATAAATAAAGCAGCAATACAACCAAGGAACAAGTTAGCGTGTGCGTGGCTCTGTCTGAAATCAACAGAACTATTTAACTTTGGCTGGATTTTATGGCCAAGACTTAATGTTAACCTTCCCCTAATCCTGTACCATCCAGATGTGATGTGAACCTCATGGCTGGAATTGTTGCAATTCCAATTGTTGCAACATCTGAAGACTATCAGGTTGGAGAAGACCACCATGACCAACATCCCCTGAGATACAGCAGAAATATTTACTTTCTGCTCCAGAAGCTGACCTGGACCTGGGATCCCATAAATTAAGCTCTGCTGACAATACTATCTCACTCCAACGTCATGGGCTGTACCAGCTTCATCCCAATCGGAACAACAGAACCCAAATTAAAACATTTGGGCAGACAAGCCTTTGTTTCCTCAGTTTTCTTAAAGAGAGAGAGAGATTACTGTCTACCTCTCAAATGTCCAAAACGTCCAGATGAAGAGAAACTGGCTTGGCTACAATACTGCAATCCTGTAGTTATTTGCTTGGTAGCAGAACCAACTGGACTCAACAGAGCTTGTTCTGGAGTCAAGAAACACAAGAACACAACCTTCAGCTTACTTTTTTGCACAAGGCCCACTAACTTCTGAGTAAGCACTACCGCATCAACTACGGTAGATTTTCTTTTCCAGATTTCAACACGCAAAGGTCAATAGCTCCTCAAACGATTCGGAACCAAACCGCCTCGTGCTGTTCTTGGGCGACGATCCTCCTCCACAAATATGCCACAGAAACGCCTTGATTGCAGCGTGTAGATATCATCCAGCGTGACAAACTGCAGCAGTCATCTTGGTGGGCTTTGCATGCAGCCCAAACAGCTGGAAGCGCCCCTTGTCCATCTTTTGGCAGCCTTTGAAAAATGCTCAAAAGCCCCTTCGAGAAGACAACCCACCTTAAGGAGAACATCTGTTCCCACCCCTTTTAACAACAGTTGTGATGTTGGAGGGCGAGTGGCACCGATTTCAGACTCCTGCCTTGAATGCCCGGTTGATCACACAATCCAGCTGCCCATTTCTGAGCAGCATTTGCAAGCAGTTGACATATTTTTAGGTTGTGTAGCTCCACAAGAGGAACAAAAAACTGCCTGGAGATTTCCAAACAGTACGACTGCTCTGTGTTAGAGTTCAGAGCTTCAGCTTGAACGACAGGATAAAAGATAATTGCAATGTTTTTTATACCTACTGAAGCTGAGAGCAACGCTGTTACTGCATCTGTCTTCCATTTGACTGCAGATGGGATGAATTTAGGACATTCGTACTTCACTGTACTTTCATTTTCCTGCTGCTGTCCTTTTTTCATTTCACTTCATTTTTTATCATTTGTTATAAGCCTCCCCAAAGAACATCAGCACGAGCGGTCATTTTTTCTCGTCTCCAAAGAGAATGCAGTCTAAGTAAATGGGAACTTCTATAAATTACTCTTTAAAAAATCATACTTGATAATCTTATTTATCTCTGTTATTTCTCCTGTTCATATACACTTTTGATTTGCTTTTTGACTAGAGAACTGAAATGAAAATGCTAAGTTCAGACGACAAGATCTTTACAATAGAGTTTTATACATGTCTACTCAGAAGTAAAACCCAGGGAGTCAGTAGGGGTCACAACAGAGAGACATACAAAACCGCACTGTTAGTGTTAGAAGGTGACAAGGCTGTGTGAAGAAGGGTGCTGTCAAAATGACTAAAAAATACCAGCACTTGGAGTGTATGGTTGTTTGCTTACAAAGTCCTTTTAAATTTAGCTAATCTTTCAGAAAACTGCAATTTTTTATAACGGCAAATAAAACAGCAGATAAGATACCCCTAAACATTTGATTTCCATAAGTTCATGCCAGTTAAATGCACTTGAATACAAAATACAGGATTTGATCAAGGTAGTCTTCCTAAAGCACGTTAAATCCACGACCGCCTAAAAACCAGCCTAGAGAACCGGCACGGCGAGGACCACCGTGGCATCGACTGGATCCCAGGGGCTCAATAGATCCACTGTTCAAATTGCAACTGAAAGAGTGCAAGCCCAGGGTACGCCAAGAGTCAGACCAGCGTGGCTCAAAACATCTTCTTCAAAACCCCGTGGCAGCAAAAGCCAGTTTTGGCCCACCTTCCAGTTGCAGGAGGCAGACAAACGTTTCAAGGCTGGAGCGGATGAGGCAAAATGGAGCAAGTGTCTCAAATTACGCACCCCCATTTCATTCTGATCCCCGGAGCAAATCTGCTTTCGGTATGTGCTTCATTTCAAAATGCCTTTTCAAAGCGCTGCTCGCACTAGGTCCCACTTACGTTTTCTGGCATCTCCGGATTACGCCCATCCATCATGCTGTGGGCAATCCAGGAAGACCACAAGATAAATGTTTCCAAGTTTTGTGAAGTGGCCCAAGATCTCTGATTCTCTCTGACTGATTCTGACCATATTTTCTGCAGGGCACTTTGGACTGCCACCAGGGAGAGGATTACAGTAGCTCAAGCCTTGAAAAGTCTTCCACACAGTACTGCTTTCTTCCTTCTTCTCTAGCTATGGCCCAAACTGGCAGCAGGATTAATCTTAATTATTTATTAAGCATTTATCACTAAGTATACTCCAGACATGGAAGAAAACAAGAATTAATACAGTACATTACAGTCAATGATAACCTCAAAGTGTAAAATAAGGAGCCCCTAAACTAAAAGGTCCATGACATACAACATTTACCTCTATACATTCAAAGGAACAAGTAAGAATGCATCTGTTTTAAAGTGACTTCAAGAGAGCTCATGAAGAAAAGGCGTTTTGGTGCTTTTTTAAAACTTTAGGTGACCCAGTTCCAAGCATAAACCTGGTGCAAGTCTATACCAAAGAACTGGAGGCAGATGAGGAAAAGTTCTCAGCCTTGAACTCACTTTGGGGTTAACTGAGAAGGAAACAGCAATTTATTTAGGGCAACAGAACTGCACGTGTCTTCAGCCAAAAAATGGCGCTACGTCATGCCTAAGAGACTTGGATGTCAGAGTATCTCTAGGGAGTATAACCTTGCTGACACTACGAAGGATTTGTGAGTGGATGACCAGCACAGAAGATAGAAATGACAGAAGCAGAACATTCAGGCACAGAGCAGGAACTTTCCACCCCCATAAACACCAACACACACACACACGTAATACATTGTAAAACAGGCCACGTTATTTCAGATTCACAGCAATGTCCAAAGGAACAAATTGTTGCTGGATATATTCAATCTTTAATCTAATGGAAAATAAAACTCAACACTTTTGACTACGATCATGCATAACAATGCTCTCGCTTAAACAAAACCAACAGGAATCTTTTTGGTTACGTGTTTCATTCCTTGCGTTAGCTCTCCCCAACGCAGTGCCTTCCGGTTGGGTTGACTTTAAGGTCCCACGCTGGCTGAAGATTACAACAACCAACATCCCACATATTTGAAAGGTGTCCGACTGAGAAAGGCTGAACTGTAATGACCCAATATAAATATTCTGAAGCAGTTGGGCTGCGGAGTAGGAACAGAGGGTGGGGGGAAGAGAGGAAGAAGTAGTTCTCTCTGCCTGAAG